GCACAGCCCCCCCCCACCCACCCACCCGGCACCCTGACAAAGGATGGCCATGCCAAGTAACGCCCTGCGACAGCAGAACCAAGGATGGCCCTGGGTTGGAAGCAGCAGCAGAAAGGATGAAGGTCCTGACCTACACCATCCAACCGGCGCCTCATTGCCTGCTTTCAAAACTAAATCTCAGATTTAAAATACTTAGATTTCCATAGCTCAACTTGCATCGAAAACAGATGGAAATAGATACTTCTTACTGCCACTTTCCTGAGTTTCATTTTCTTTTAGTTGGGTGGTTCCAAATGAGTTTATTGCACTGGAGGTCTGACTTGTGAAATGAGTGAAGGAGCAAAGCAGTGGAAGTTCACAGTGAGGGGGATTGCTCCAGGTTTTGGAGACGTCCTGGAGACACAGCCAAGCTGTTGGAAGGTAGGCTGAAACTGGATATATTTTTCCATGACTTTTTTTGTTTTAATTTCTACATCTGAACATAAGCTTTTGCTCAGCACTAAATTTCTCACTCCAACAACTCAGAATATCTCAGCAGAAACGACCTGGATAAAAGGATAAAAAAAAAAGGTTAAAACAAAACAAAACAAAGGCTGATAGTGAGTCCTGCTGTAACCAAAGGGACCCTTGCCTAGAACATCCCAAAACAAAACAACAAAAACAAGCAATGGAAGAGAGAAAGAGACAAATAAAAATTCTGATCCAGGATTTGGAGTGTTTCAGGTTTCAACTTCTTAAATGCAAGATGACCAATTTGGGAGCATTTTTAAACTGAAATATTAACACATTTCATAAAGCTACACAGCAGGGATTTCACCTGGCACTCTTTTTGAAACCAGAATCCTTAAATTATTCCACCATTCCATCCCTGTTCCAGTCGCCTTTAAATGCATTTTGCTAATGTCTCATTTAAAATGTATTGCATTTTAAATAGCCCTTAGGATGATATTTTTAGAGCTTGAGCTCACCTAAATGATTTAAAGCAACTACCTCCTCATCAGCCTAGAAAAACCCGCTGCCAAGGCAGAATACCGAAGCCCAGAGAGCGACGTGTTCACCACGTATGCGATGGGTTCACTGTTAGTGCTGGGGTGGCTCACAGGCGTCAGCAGAAAGTATTAGCAATGCATTCAGTTCAACCAAAACGCAGTGGGTGCTTGGGATGATGAGACTGTGCAAAACCAGACCTTAATAAAGGAGAATTCAAGAATGGTTAATGCCATGGGACATATTTATGGTTTGAACTTGACTCCAGCTTCCACGGGGTTTGAATTCACTTTTGCATATTAGACATGCGTTTGTTAGGTACTTTTTGCCTTTTTCCCTTCCTCTTGCAAAACAGAAACCAATTATGTTAGAAACAGCCAAATTTTCTGTCACACACCCTACTCCTTCAGCTTTAACTGGGTAGATATAATTACCAGTTATACAGGGACAGAACCCTGCCTATCTCACAGAAACGACCCATTTCCACATTTACGAGGACCCTGTCAATGCAGTTGTTTTTCACTTACAGTATGTTTACCCTCTCCAAGTGAAATCCACAGTGCCTTTCCATGAGGTATGGGTGGGAAGGGACCTTAAAGCCCTCCCAGTTCCCCCTCCTGCCATGGGCAGGGACACCTTCCATAGCCCAGGGTGCTCCAAGCCTCATCCAGCCTGGCCTTGGACACTCCCAGGGATGGGGCATCCACAGCTTCTCTGGGCAACCTGTCCCAGTACTCCCCACCCTCCGCGGGAAGAATTCCTTCCTGATGTCCCATCTCTACCTCCCTCTTTCCGTTTAAACCCGTTACCCCTTGTCCTGTCACTCCCTGCCCTTGGCAAAAGTCCCTCCCAGTTTTCTTGTAGCCCCCCAGGCAGTGGAAGGCACTATAAGCTCTCCCCGGAGCCTTCCCGTCTCCAGGCAAGAAGTTTCATCCTCGCAGTGACTCAGAAGAAACACAGACAGCAGAGGACAAACAGGATCAGAGGATACTCATGGCTTCTCCAGGAGTCCCCCTGCCACCCGAATGAAACACAGGCTGGAGAGGGGTGGTGGTTCACCTCGTGAGCTGGTTTGGCTCTTGTTACTCTTCCTGAAGTCAGGAACATTTAGTCTCCTTCCACAGCTCCATCCCTCCTATGGGACCAAGGCTCCTCATGGGCTGTTCCCTGGACAGAACAGACTTAATTTTTCTTGAGGAGCCCAGACGTTCCTCCTTAGATGTTCCACTCCGAACCCTGTTGCCAGAGTGCCACAAGAGGAGGCACCTGAGAAGGTATTTCAAGACGACAGAGGAGATCTGCCTGCACCTCCCTTCTACAATGCAATGTCCCTTCCTCCAAGGGGGAGGCAGAGCCCTACAAACACTTCCCAAAAGCACACGGTGCCAATTCAAACCTCTGACTGACAGGGATCACCAATCTGTTGACTTTACAATCCGTTTCATGCTTGCAACTTTTGGTTATACACACATTTACATACATCTATACTTAGTATATATATACACGGTGTAAGTATATAAATATCTTTTTTTTACACCATTAACAGGGCACTTAAGATCTTCATAGACTTTTTTTGATAGTGCTTTAAACTTTTGGGCTTGATGGGGTTTTCCAGGACAGACTCAGAATATCTTACGACCCCAGACTATGACAGCCACAGGACACGTGTGATAATCCAAGCTGTCCAACCTCACAGCTTGTGAATGCATGTTGGCACCTGATGATTGCCTGAGATGTCCTGAATCCCTGGAAAAATCAAAGCAATCAAAGCACCAAAACAGCTTGTGGAAACAAGGAGGCCGACAGCCGGAATGAGCTGAGGTATAACAACGGTCAACTGTGCCGGAGGTGAAACGCCAAACTCATGCGGACAATAACATGGTCTGGGGTTCACTTCTTGGTGACAGTGAAAATTTAAACTGATTCTGTTGCTATGGAAGGTAAATTGGAAGGAAGTTTAAAGAGGGAAGAATGGGAAGATTACCCCAGAGCACAAAATAAAACAGCAATAATGGCTTACACGGTCTATGGCTACTCTCTACCACAGACATTTTAGGTAATAACAACTTATAAATACTATAAAAAAATAACTGGCTTTCATACATGAGATATTGTATATTCTGGCTTTTGAACTGAAGCAATTTAGTTTTTATTAAGTGTACAATTTTGAGGTATCAGTAAAATTGCTTGAAGTAAAACAACCCACACAGAATAGCTGTCCATTTTATATACAAATCTTTAAAAGAAAAATATTATAAAGTATATTAACCTTTTTTTTTCACTTATTTCATCCAAATCAAATTACCTAAAACTACTGGTCCTGATTTATAGAAAGAAAAGGCTTAGCCCAAAGTGCCTGCTCTAAGGGGTTGGCTCTGACCAAAGGACTACTTTGAATCCAGGTGCAAAACTGTTGGTACTAGAGACACAGCACTGAAGGTACATGCTCTTTTTTTCCTGATCATGGCCACTCATTACAGTTTCTGATTCTTGTGTTTGTTCTAAAAAACCCACCACATTTTCTTGAAAAATCTAATTTTGATAAAAACTGAATTGTCTCCAAGTCTGATTTTTCAAGTGAACAGGTAAATTTTAAATGGCAAAAGAACACGGAAGACTTGCTGTGTAAAGAGACTTGAGGGTAGTTATGACATTATTCTAAAGACCAAGATTTATTTAAGAGCCCATTGCATGAGGTAAACTTACATAAAGAGACAATAAGAGGAAGCTGAAATAAAGCCCCAAAACCAGGCAGTTTAAAATGCGACAGCCCTTCGTACACACACCCTGACTGTAAAAGCCGCAGTGATGGCTCTGCCCATCCGGGTTGGCAGCTCTACACCAAGCTGGACAGCGCACGTCCTGTTCAGAGGGAGACCAACAAGCTCCCATATCCTACTCCATTTTTAATGCGTCTACTCCATTAGCTCACTCACGCAGAGGCCAGAATTAGCATTAGATAAAAACATCCCCAGCTTTAATACAGCCACGTTAGGCTATTTCATCAAATCCTCACCCAAATACAACCCTTGACAACTGTTGGAAGATAAACAGGAAATCGGTTTTTATCTCATATAATTGTGTGCAATATATGTGATTGTACGTAAGACGTACGTGCTATGCCGTACTGAAAGGGAAATGAAAATCCCCAACAAAAAGGAAGAAAAAGCTGTATGCTTGAAAGAGAGAGCTTCTCCCGAGGGCTGCTACGTGGCAGTGGTGACGGCACTTCATGGCACTGAGTGCTGTGCTCCAAAGGGCTCCTGCTGCCCTCCAGGCACAGGGAGCACCTCTGCTGACCCTCCCACTGATGCCTCCTGAAGGGACCGTCAGGGATCCTAAGGATAATCCGGCCGAATTTGGCTTTCTTAGACAAAATGGGTCAAAAAGCTTTCCTACTTGGTTGCAAACTAACATTAGGAGGATAACATTCTGAAAAACAAAACCCTTATGATCTTTGGGAGAAGAGGAACCTTCACTAATATTTTTACCTTGGGAACAGGACATAGAAGGTTTTGACACATGGAAAGGACATTTCTATAAGCTCTGAAAGCACTTGAGCTGTTCTGTCTCTAGTTTTAGTACACATACATGCATAGGTGTCCATACTCTCCTGTGTGTACCTTCCTTTTAAGCTTCCCTTTTTTCAGATAGCTTTACAGACCTTAATACAGTCAGAAAACAACCTCTTACCTGGAGATATTATATAGAAGAAGTCCTTAAACTCATCCATCCAGACCTCCGCCAGCCTCCTGTTGTTCTTGTTGATGACGTGTCCCGTGCCACCGGGGAAGGTGTAAGGTGTTGCCTTCCGGAAGACGTGGCCAACGTGGGAGCAGGTGACAATCTCAAGGGAGCCGCCGCACTGCCAAATCTGAAATTAAAACACGTGTTGGCTGAAACAAGTACAAACCACACCGAGATTATAGCAGGAGGGACTCAGGTGAGCAGCTATCTCCTGATTTATTTCCCCAGGACACAGGGAGTTTCAAGCAAAAGTTGAAGGGCAGCAGCAGGGGCACAACTCCTGAGGGCAAGGACAGGGCACAGACTTGGATTGCAATGCGATGTGAGAATGGTTCACCTGGTCCTGAGTCCTGACAGCATAAACACACACAAGCCCCGGCCTCAGAAAGGAGCCGTGATATCGTGGATTCTGTAAGGTAGGGAAGTCACCTGTGTGTTTGAGCCTCCCAGGATTTCAAAATATTTAAAGAAACAGAGAACTTTCGCTTTTATACATATATAAATACATATGTATAGATTTGTCAAAGCGGAATCACATTCGTGACCATGCTGAGCACAGCAGATCGTGGTTAACATCACGGGTGGCCACAGAAAGCGGCAAGCACTGGCACTCTGAGCACCACAGAACCACAGAAGTGAGACGCAGACACCACACGTGCGTCGCTGCTTCACACGCTGCTGAGTACCACCACCAACTCACAAAAAAATGTTATAGACAAGAGACTTTGATGAACTTTTCCTAGAAGCAAACAGTCCCTTTCCACCACTGCAGCCAAAATCTATGGTCTGAGCCAGCTCAGTACCTTCAATATAACTGAATGAGTATAAAAAATCGTATTATCCTGGACTTTAAGGCCCTGTTGTTAAAGGAAGTAACACATTTTTCTGCCAGAGCAGTATAGTCTGGCAGAACAAACATCAGTTGGTGTATTAACGGCTGTTCTGCACTTTCCCATCTTCCTATGCCCTGAAAAAAGCTAGAGAAGATGCTAAAAAGGCTGGAAGCCCATTTGCAGACCTGGAGGTGTGACGTGGGCAGCGAGGTGAACACGAGGGACACACAGAGGTTGCCATCAGATGCTTACAGGGTTACGAAGTTCTCCCAGACAACACCAATTCCTCGGGACTCGCTCCTCACTACGGCTCACCGAGAGTTTTGGCATCAAAGGTATCACCAACAGCCCAGTTCCCATTTTAGGCTCGTCCCACCCTTTGCTTTCGTCTCCTCCTCAGCAGGCAGCAGCACTCAGATCGGCTCTACCTCACTGTAGTAAAACGCCGAGTTGAAGAACCATCGGGTGTTTTAAACGGGAACGCTGGTACAGCCTGGTAATTAGAGCTCCTCGACACAAACATAAGTTACCATAGTAACTTAATGCAGATTGTATTTAATTAGGGCTAAATCCTTTTATATAATTTCATCAGTATGCTAAGTGATGTACTCCGTTGGGATAAGCAACGACAACACCAAAATAGTCTGGTGTTTAACATCTTGTGCTTGGCAGCTCAGTGACAACTAATCAGTTCAGGTGAAACCTCAAGCTGATGGGTGCCAAGGAACACGTGACCGTACCCAAAAGGCAGCAGACATTAAAACCTACACCACTGGGACGTTTACAAAGCAGCCTGGGAGCAACTCACCAGCCGGGACAGGCGGTTTCAGGTGCACTTCAACCCACGGTCTCTGCCTGAGGACCTGCATTCCCACCCAGGCTGCTCCTGCTCTCCTCCTCCGACCACTCTCCCCGGCAGGAAATTCCTCCCACATTGCCACTTTTTAAAATGTGTGTTCCTGTACATTTTTTAAAGCACGTTTTTGGCTGTCCTTGGTACAATCTGCTATCTATTACAGCTGTCACAGGAATGCAGAAGAACCTGCCCTCTCTTCAGAAGAAAGGGACTTTTATCTTCTCAGAATTATTAAAAAAGGCAAACCAATGTTCCTGAATATTCCCTGGTAAAATAACAACTTTCCAAAATCCCTGGGAGTGTCCAAGGCCAGGCTGGATGAGGCTTGGAGCACCCTGGGCTATGGAAGGTGTCCCTGCCCGTGGCAGGGGGTGGGACTGGGGGGGTTTTAAGGTCCCTTCCCACCCAAACCGTTCCGTGAATCTGTGATGAATTCATATAACAGCTAAGGATTGTGGGTTTCCAGAGATCTGTTCACCACACATACAAGACACCCTTTGCTGTTGAAGAGCTATTTGTGGACAACACCTCAGTCCAGGCAGTTCGACAATTGCCAGCAGGTTTTTACTGGCACTGGTGACTGCTCCATGTAATACTCCAAAGGTTTTGGACAGAAACTGCTATTAAATTTTATTGCAGTCTTTTTCATTTTAACATTTGTTATCTTTTTTAATCCAGCAAAACTCCCAGGGAAACAATTTACTTGATCCTATAGGTTGGGAATCAGGTATTTCCAATGAATTGTCATCTTTCTTTTTAAACCATGGCAACAATTTTCTGAATTATTGCTTTACTACAGTCCTTTTAGTCATCTGGGTTATCTTTTCCCAGCAAAAGAACAACCACCAGGGCCACTCTCCCACCCAGATGGCCACACTGGGACTTCTGCCCACCAAACCTCCGCCAAGGCTGGGCTAAGCCTTTGCTGCTGGGGCAGGGCAGGTGGGAACCGCGGCCCTTGGCTCAGCAACATTCCACTTTACTGACCTCCCACACCCCACAGCAGGCAACAAGGGCCCTGACGGCCACTAAAAGCCCCAAGGGACTAAAGACATCCCGACTGTGAATATTCGGTACAAGACTGATGCATCGCATTAGAAAAACCAACACAAACCCTCTAATTTTCACACTGAATTATTCATAAACCAGTTACTGTCACATCATAATTTTTAAGGTTGAAGGTGTCTTCCTTTCCTTCTCCTCCGGTGTTTAACCCTTCTCCTTCCACCTGAATGAATCCCCCAGAATCAGACATTCTTCCAACCATGGTCCCTCTCTGCATCTTCCAACACAGCACGTGCCACAGATTTGTTTCCCACCTTCTGTGAAAAGGTACTTAATGAAAATAAACGAACTCAGCTGCAACTCCACAGTTGAGAAGCTCCAAGAGTAACCTGTCCCCAGCCTGGCACCTCGTCCTTCGGCACCACTCAGTCCCCCACACACCAGTTCATTCCACCTCCATCTGCTCCTGACTCAGGAGGTCCTTTCCAGACCCTTCGTGAAATGTTTTGGTGGGGAAGGGATCCAGCAGATCTGCCACGTTTCCTTGCTCTGGCAAACGAGCTGTCAAACCCAGCGCGTTGGAATTTAGCTTTTCATAAACCCACGTGACACTAACCCATTTTCTCTTTTCCTTTTTTGCTTACAAATCCCAATTCCTTCAAAGTTTGTGGTAAAACACTTCATGCCATGGAATTATAACTAAAAATTAAAAATCATGCCCACATAATCTATCCCCTTTTAAACATAGGCGTTAATTATTTAGAACTACCTTTGTTTCACACACATTTAGAAACCATTTCTACCATTGCACAAGACATTTGCATTAAACTCTGTCTGGTCTCTGTGCAGCACACCGTCAGGAGTTTTTCCTCTTCCATGAGCACTGAGTCGCTGCCAGCTCCCGCAAATCTCGGCGCACGTCAATCAGAAATATTTAAGGCTAATAATAATTTGTAGGCAAATAAAAAGAACTCCGAGGCATTACTTCTAATCTTAGAACAAGAATACTCCCGTAGTTCTGCCAATGCTTATTTTTGGGTGGCTAGAATATATATTATCTACTTATATCTAAAAGCAAAATTTCACACGTGCCACCGTGCCCTTTACAGGCGAATCTCTGCAGCCCACTCCAAGCAAATCCCACCCTTTGCTTCCCGACCCTCTGCAGGACATGGCTGCGATCGCTCCGTCGTGACGGCACTGCTGAAACCAGCATCACCGGCCAGGAGGCTGTAACCACGGCGCCAGAGCTTTCCCTGGACCCCTACACCCAATGGGGATGGAACAGTAGCGTGGGTGGGGGTCTGGGCAAGCTGGGCACTGGGGCGCATGTGGCCCAGCGCCCAGATGTGGCAACAGCTGCTTCTGCACTTAACCCCTCTGAAGGGAGGTTTACTACTGGTTATTGCCTCATTCTCAGGAGTACAATGTCCTCACCGATGCCTCTTATGACAAAATAGGTACAACCATCTCCAAGAAAGATCTAATACTCTTTAAAGTTTAGAGTAAAAAACTAGAATCTCAGCTACACAGCCATAAATTACAAAAATTACAAGAATTACACAGCTATAAATACCAAAAGCAAATGCTTTACATGTTCATAATTCTGCTTACTGCATTTTAGAAACTATTTCTGTACATAAAGGGGTTCTTTTGGCACATGTGCGTGTTGACTGATGAAGGTGTTAGACTAAACCTCTCTCATGCATCAGCACCAAAGGTATGGTAAGAAACATCCCCGAAGATTAGTGCAGTCAGGGGAGTTAACACCTAAGCACAGTTACTGTAAATGAGTTAAGCTTGTTGGTTGCTATGCAGGGATGCACAAGTAATAATTAATTAAAAAACAAAAGCCTGACGACTCTGATATCAAAGATCTCTATAAGGAAATCAACCAAACTGGTGCATCTTGAGTATTTTCCCTATAGAAACATAAGAATCCTAGCACACAGAAGAACTAATGAAGGCCAAAGAAAGAGAAGAAGGTTGTGTGCTTTAAATGTAAGCACACAAACCCATTTTGAATACAATTTGTGAGCAAACTGTGCTCCTACAATTAGTTAGCCTAGTCCAGCAGCTAAGGAATATCGAAAAGCACAGAGAGATTTTTTCAATCTGTTTGCCAGGCGATTAGGGATTTATATACCCCAAATTCCACTCACCCACACACAGCATTCATTCCAATGTCACAGCGTACTTCTGAAAATAATCCCGCAGGCAGGCAACCCTTCCGGCCCCTCTGGTGCGCCCGTAATTACGTCGCCAGTCTGCCAGTCAGCCAGGTCGGCGATCCTGCTGGAGCGGCTCCCCTAAACACGGTTAAACTCCCTCTTACACCTATCGCTTAGCAGCTGAAAGTTGACACATCGCCCATAGTCGGGCTGAAAACCTGTCGTTGATCGGAATTAACGCGCCCCTCTGGAGAAGCTTCCTCGGTGGCATCCAGCCTCGCCAGCAGTTACACCTGCAAGCAGCAGCTCTCGGGGCATTGTCCCTGCTCCCTCCGCAGCACCCGTGGATGGGACATGGGGAGGGGGCTGTGCCGTGCCCATGGCCATTCCCTCGCGCCGCGACAGGCTCCTTTGCTGCCCGACGCGGAGCCTGCACCGTGCGGTTGCTGTTCACACGCGCCATGCCGCGAGTATTTCTATAGATCGGATGCTGCACTAGGTTACAAGTGAATTAAACACCACTGGCTCCTTATTCACTGACCGTAAGACTTCCTGCAACAGCAAAACCAGGAATTTCAGAGAAAAAACGCGTCAATACATCACACTACCGAGGAAATACACGTGGAACCATTTGCATATGCTCTTCTATGCTTCCAAGAGCTGCCAGAAAGCCGAAAATCAACCAGCGACTTACTCCCCTCAGAGTACACATTTTCTTTCTCTAGCCTTGCTTTGGCCCATGTGGATTATTCTAAAGAATAATCTGTATTTGCTGCTGGGCAGATTATTTCTAATACCCTTTCCAAAGCTATATGAGCTCCTTTCTGACTATCAAGTTTTCAGAGCATTCTGACTGGGAAAACAAACAGAATTCCACAGAAAATTAAAAATGTTTAAGCAATTCTATAAATAAAATTACGGTAAATGTTTAAGAAAAAAAATTAGGTTTTCGTTTACTACAGTAGGCTCCTAAAGCTGTAAGAGATTCCTGCCAGCATTCTTTTTCTCCCAACTGCTATTACTGAAAGACGTCCGCCAAAAGGCACCATTAAAGGCTGTTCAGCAACGAGCAGCAGCACAGCTAAAAGATGAAATACTGATTTACCAAGAAATCATAGAATCACTGAATAGTTTGGGTGTGCAGGGACCTTAAAGCCCCACCAGTCCCACCCCCTGCCATGGGCAGGGACACCTTCCATAGCCCAGGGTGCTCCAAGCCTCATCCAGCCTGGCCTTGGACACTCCCAGGGATGGGGCATCCACAGCTTCTCTGGGCAACCTGTTCCAGAGGAGGAGAATCCCTCAAAGGCAAAGGCACTTTGTAACATCCTTTTGAGGATGCAGGGATTAACAAAACAGGGGTTTTGGGGTTTGTCTTCTGAATATTGGACCAACACCAAAACTAATCCCTTTCCATTTGATGATGAAAACATCCGATGTAACAAGAGCCCTGGAAACATCCTTATGGCTGACTCCTACTACAGTAATTTTCCAAACCAAGATTTCTCCTCAGTGTTTGCTTGACTGCACTGAGATATTCCAGAAACCTGCTGGATAACTGCAGGTTCATAACGCGGCTGCGGGAGGAACCTCCCCAGCCCCTTAGCACTCTTCGCTACCACTTTTCTGCGGATGTTTTACACCAGAGAGGGTTTTAAATGCAGAGGCCTTGGTACTTTATTGATCCAGTTACACCTGATGTGCTTGACTACTTGGTCAGTTTTCCTTACAGACAAAGGCTCTAAACACCAAGAAATAACATCGCGTGGCTGCCTGGCATTTCCCCGGCACAAGCTCCCGGCGCTGGAAGCGCATCAATTTATTTCTGTTCTTGACTCCATGCCCTCTCACTAGGCTGATGCATGCTTGCCAGGCTGGTAATGTTTCTTGAAGTGGGAAAAATCTTTCAGAGACATAAAATAAGCCCAAAGAGTTCATCAGAAAATTCATGCGCTTCCTCTCCTCAGTCTTAACGAGTAAAATAGGGAAGCAGCTCTGCCGTTACTCCTGCTTTTATCACCAGGGCTTTCTGCAGAGAGCACACCTACTGCTGGTCTTTGTCTTTCCATGTATATTGGACAGAGATTTTGGGATTTAAAGCTGAAATTAAGATCTCACGACTGCATTCTCACAAAACGTATGTAAGTTAAGCCCATCGCTGGCTTACTCATGTAAGCAGCAAACAGAATTCAGTTCCAGTTTGAAACAGGACTCAGGCAATGACTACATGGAGAAGGAAAAATAAACAAAAAACAAACCCTCCAAGTGTAATTATATATGTGTTATATAAATTATAGAAGTGCCCTGGAAGCAGAACCAGAGAAACTGTACCAAGGGCAGAGGTATCAGCTCAACCTGCACTACACACACCCCAAATCATCCCAAACAGGAGCTGGCTGACCCGTGCCAGGAACCCCAATGAGCTTCCCACGCAGCTGCCAAGAGCCCGGGCACAACAGCACAGGATGAAGACAGAACACCACCACTCAATCACTAATTCTCAGGGAAGGTTTTCAAAATACATGAGCATTATTCGAGCAGGAGCATGCATCAAGAATATCCTATTTAGGGCATTCCCTTACCATACGCTGGAAGCTGAATACATGCTCACACGCTGCTCTCAGCAGAAGATCAAACGCTTTCTGCCAAAATGAATCTATTACGCCAGGGAGTGGGAAGAGGCCATGGAATTGGAAATTATCTTATTCTGTTGCACTTACAAGGCCTGACAGAAAAATGATCAATATTTGTGCCTTGGTTAACAAAAACAGCCACTGCCAAAAGCAGCCAACAGAGAATCAACTCCCATATATTGTCCAATATGGACTCAAAAAAGCCCACCTTGTTCGCCCCTTTGTATTAGAGATAGTTTTTCAGGGATCACAGTTTTTTGATGAAAACCCAGTGTTCTTCCAAAAAGAGAGAGAAGTATTTTAGAGTCTCCACTAATGAGAATGGGATCTTCCCACAGTAATGACCAAAAATGGGTCCTGCAACAGGTTTTCTGTAAGCGATAACAAACACCAGCAATGACAAACAGCTTCGAGGTGGCCTCTGTCAGGGTTCAATCATGGAACCACAGAATGGCGTGGGTGGGAAGGACATCAAAGACCATCTAGTGCCACCCCCTGCCACGGGCAGGGACACCTTCCATAGCCCAGGGTGCTCGAAGCCTCATCCAGCCTGGCCTTGGACACTCCCAGGGATGGGGCATCCACAGCTTCTCTGGGCAACCTGTCCCAGTGCTCCCACCCTCTGCGGGAAGAATTCCTTCCTGATGTCCCATCTCCATCTCCCTCTTTCCGTTTAAACCCATTGCTCCTTGTCCTGTCACTCTCTGCCCTTGGAAAAAGTCCCCCCTCAGCTTTCTTGTAGCCCCCCAGGCACTGGAAGGGGCTCTGAGGGCTCCCCGGAGCTTCCCTTCTCCAGGCTGACCCCCCCACCTCTCCCAGCCTGTCCCCATGGCAGAGGGGCTCACTTTACAGAAATCACACACTCAGACATTCAGTGAAAAAAGAGCTGTAGTAACATGCAGATTTAGTCTGTAAGAGGCACATATTTAATGCTTTAAAGCAGTGCTGGCCCCTCTCTGCTCTAGAGATCACTTCCACAGACATGAAAAACAAGCCAACTAACAGACTTAAGTTAAAAATAAGCTCATATATAGGTGCCTGTATACATCCAAGGAATATTTTAGGGGTCCATACACCAAAAAAAAAAGAAGTTGAAATCCACTGATTTCAAGCGCTAACACTCAGAAGTAATTCTACCCCTCTGTTTTACTGGGAAGTGAACTAATACAGCTTACAGAAAATGGCCTGAAAACGCTTTCCAATTCTCAGTTGACCTTCTCCAGAAATTCTTGCTTCACAAAAATCTTCCAAGTAGTTTCTGTCCATAGAAAATAGTCTGCCAGCCCTGGCTGAAGGCAAAAGACAACAAAAATAAGGGCAAGAGGGATATCCCCCTGATGTGCTACGGGTAGCAGATATGTACACCAGGGTTTATTTGGCATACTTACTCAAAATGCATAAGCTGTGCTCCATCAGATACCTTCAAAGTCATTTTCAACATCCTTTCTAAAAACTACTTATCATAGATTCAATTTTTCCAGTTTTCCTGTATGCCTAACAGACAATGACTAAATGCATTTCACTCCAAGAGCTTTTAGTCTCGTCGTGGCAGCGTACCTTACCCCCGGCAGAAACACGGGCACTGTTCTGCAGGATGTGCAGTTTCTCTGCGAGCGCAGAATTAAGATCCCAGCCAGAACTTGCAAGTTCATGATGACACACACTTTCAAAAACCTCTGTTAAAACATGTATTTGAATTCGATACAAATTCATATCTTGTTTATAGCAGTTAGCATTTGCACAAAAGCCTCGTTTCTTTTATAAAGGTTTTGCTAAAATACACATTATTTTGAAAGTGCAAAAATTTCCAAACAGTAATAAAATGTTTCATGCAGTAAAAAAGAACCAAAATACTATAATGAGGCATTCCCAAATGTCTTGAGAATTTACATTAACACGTGTCTTGCACGACAGCTAAAGCAGAAGTGCCCTGTCCGCAGCGCAGGAACCGTTACAGCACAACTGTGTGTGTTGACAGAAAATGAAGGAAAATGGCAATTACCCTAAAAGACATTTCAAGATTCTCGCCACCCCAGATATCCATTCCTGCATCGTAAGTTCCTATCTCTTCAAAGTAGTTTCTGTCAATAGAAAATAGGCCACCAGCCATAGTAGGGGTCCTAGTTGAAAACAAACAGAAAAAAAGAAAAAAGAAGAAAAAGAAAAGAAAAAATACCTTTTGAAAGACACTGTGGAATTTATTACGCGACACTACAGTACATTTCACTACCTCAGACATTTTGACTATAAACATATTCTACACACAGCAACTTAAGTACAAACTGCTAACAGTAACGACGTGGTTTCGCCTGCGTCCTCCGCGCCTGCCGTCCGGGCAGAGCTCCCGGAAGCCGAGAGCGCTGCCCGCGGGAGCACGGCAGGACTGCTCCCTGCAGTGCCGCACATCCTTTCAGGAGCATTGCAATGGTAAAGTGGATGGAATTTTGGCCTTCTGCATCCAGAACAGCAGTTCGAATCCAATCTGAAATGCTTGGCGAGGAGAGTTTAATGCCTCAGCTTTGCCTCAGAGGGAGACTAAATGTGCATAAAATTACCAGGCATAATCTCTCTTAACAGGATTATAAATCCTTACAACAGGCAAATCCAGTCAGAGTGCAACTTCTCTTTGTGTAAAGATCTCCTCTCTCCCCGTAAATACCTGCTCTATGGTTTCCAGCACGTGAAGCCTACGTGAAAGGAAAAATGCTCACCTCAGCAGCAGGAGCCCAGCCCCGGGTTACTGCACCCACCAAACCCAGGCGGGGGGCACGCGCGCGGACTGGACTGCGCAGCGCCAGGGGTTGCCCCAAGCCAAAACGTGTCCCTGCAGACATTCTTCCCGCAGATGGTGGGAGCACTGGGACAGGCTGCCCAGAGAAGCTGTGGATGCCCCATCCCTGGGAGTGTCCAAGGCCAGGCTGGATGAGGCTTGGAGCACCCTGGGCTATGGAAGGTGTCCCCGCTCATGACAGGGGGTGGCACTGGAGGGGCTTTGAGGTCCCTTCCCACCCAAACCAGCCTGTGATTGCCACGGGAGCTGCACCCCAGTGTCCCCCCATCAGCCAAGCTCAGGCACGCAGCAACAGATGGGCTTTGGTGTAATGAGTCTGCTGAGGTCTCAGCATCCCCATGCCTACAGGCTTTGCTGCTGAGGACCTCAGGCACGCTAACGTAGCTGCGGATCAAGCCTTGATGGTCAACTACCAGCCACGTTCTGCCCTCAGCTTCAACAACAACTGCCAAGGGAGCAAGACCGGGTTGTGAAAATGCATACCCTAACGCTAGCTCAACACGTACACGCACATCCGCACACAAGCACGCCGGTAACTGTGGCTGGTCACAAAAATGAACTCATTCACCCAGTTATTCAGCAACTGGTTGCGAAGACTGCTCGGAATAGCGGATACTCAGCAGTCAGGTTAGGCACCAGCCTCTCTCCCCTGAACCTGTTCAAGAGCAGCATTCCCAGCGCCAGCACTTCCACCCATGTGAAGCTCAGCTTCCGTGGGAGCTCCAACATTCGGAGCCAACGCTGATTTAAAAGAAGCTCCCAGGACTCTTCCAAAAAGCAAGTCAACTGCAGCAAAAGTGTTCCTGTGCAATCGAGGGGAAAAGCTGAAAGAGGGGCTTCCCAGGGGCTCCCACCCATGGCAGAACCTGCGTGGCTGGGGCATTTCTCGGATTTTCCTTTAGGAACTTTCCTACGTCCTACGTGTCACACGAGCCACAGCACACGGCATCACCACGTTACGTTACGGGTTAGCGTGGGTGACAAGCCCTTTCCTGTCCCATGGACACGGGATCTGCGGGACAGTGTTGTGCTGCACACAGCCTTTCCCGTGCTGGGATCGGACACTGCCCTGGCAGTATGAAGTCCTTTACTTACCCTCAAACCCCACAGATCCAGGTAATTTGCCTGCTGTGCAATTATTCCCTCTTCTGCCCGAGCTGGATATCATTACTCCCCGAAAAAACTCACAGGGTTTAGCAACGAAGTAATACCGGACCCCGAGTTTACCTACACTTCGTTTCTATTTTTCTCACTGTGCTCTCAGTGCCAAAAGCTCAGTTAATTAACTGTCTGTCATTTGGACAGGGCTAAACCTTCCCAGGTTTCAAAGCCGCTTTACACAAAGGTAAAGCTGATCCCTGAGCTACCGGAGGTACCCTGCGTGCAGGCAGAGCAGATGGGGACGCCGGGTGGTGTGACCCTCCCCGACTGCTGTCACGAGGGTTAAACACCATCTAGCACAGGGAGAACAAAAGAAATCTTTCTTAATTGAACTGGTTTTGTGCCAGATGATTACCAATGCAAAAATATTAGATATAAAAGAAATTTCTCTTACTGGGTACCTAGAAACTCTGCGGGTCTATGCAAAACTACTTACACCGATATGAAAAGTGCTCAGTCGTTGGTTTATTCACCTACCTGACAACTGGCCAAGTTCCCACGGGACTCTCAGCAAGTCACAAACACATCCATGAGCCTCTGCCCAGCACCACACGAACAAACCTCAGCACACCCCTGCACTGACCTCCCATCTCACTAACCTGAGCGCCACTGGTTTCAGCCAAAAAACACCACCCCCATTTCTCTGCCTGCAACAGAAACCCTCATCCTCTGTCTCCTTCCTCCTCCTCCTCTCCTTCCCAGGAGGAAGAGAGTCTTAGACTGAATGGTAGGGAACTTCCTATTCTTGCAAAGACTCAGTCTTAAGCAACTTCTGAATGATGCCACTGAACTGCACCCACAGATCTGGATTCTTCTGAAACGTCATCAGCAACCGCTCATGAGGAACAAACAGCCTTTTCCTAGGAACTCGCTAATTGAAATTGGAAGTGCTGAGCTTCATGCTGCAAAAATGTAAGTAACTGTGCACAACGTGCGCCACGGATTCTCAAATAACTGCAGCGCAGCAGGCAGGACTATCCCCCGTTACGTACATTTAACGTTACACAAACGGATCTGTGGAGCTTTTGCTGTAAAACCAGCTGAAACAGTAATATTAGAAACCATAAGGGTTCCTACAGGTTTTTATCTCAGCTTTGCACCTATTAGCTGTATTTTGCCTACTTGGAGTCATGCTAACAACTACAGTAATGTGTTATGATTAACTCTAATCATCATTCAAACCCACTTTTAATTTTATTTTGGAGATAACGTCTGCTTCTCATGTCTGCAATTATTAGCAGCAAGCAGGATTCCCATTCCTGTACCTTCCCATAAGAGAAACTGCAGAGCGTAAAGTATCTCCATGAGCCTGGGTTTGCCGTATCCCAATGATCCCTGACCCCAGTGGCACGGCAAGCTGGGCTGAAGGCAAGTGAGGAGGAGCTGGCACGGTCTCCAGAACCACATAATGTCACCTCACCCTGTGTCCTCCAACCTCCCCGACCTGCGCATCCACCCAAAGGGGTCCAACCGTCACAAGGACAGCATCCCTAAGGAACAAGACTGCTATTTATGTCGCCTGGAATAAGGGTTTCACACCAGTTTCAAATACTGCTTTACTTCATCTAGGCAGTATTGACTGTAGCCACCTCAAAGTTTAATCAGCCATAATAAGAAGATGATAAATGCAGTAAGCTCTTCATATTTGATCTTGTATTTTTCCTCTCAATAACTAATTTACACTCAAGAAACGATTTTCTGGAACAAAATGTATTTTTTTGTGTTTATAATATTAGCCTGGAGTGTCTTCAGCTTAAAAAAGTATGGAAATATCCATAGAAATGTGCTGTGCAGAGACTGCAAGCACAGAAACACTTCATGTTTTTAATACTGTAGATGCAAGAAGACACGATGTTTGTAAACCGATCTGAGTGCAGGCAATTCTACTGCCGCAAGCAAAATCACAGAAGGAGAAATGAGTTCGCTGTAAGACAAAGGATGTTCTGCAAAGCACAAACAGCGTGCAAGGATTTTTCAGCGGAAACAGAAGACTGAAAGGTGTAGCAAGAGCCCAGGCTTCAGCTGGCACTACCCATGAGCATCTACCACTGGATCAAGCCTGAGAAGGAGCTGCACTGCCTAGAGCTCTCCGCTTTCCTGATTCCCAGATGTACCCACACCCACCAGATCGCCCGCAGGAAGCTTCAGTTCCAAGCTCCACCTCCGCACAGGGCAAACCATCCAGGTTTTGCTCCCAGAGAGTCCTCTGGGAAGAGAAGGGGGCTCTGCGCTTAAAATAACACATTTTGACAGGGTCTAATGGTTTACAAAGTGTGCAAAGCCGGAGGTTACTCCGGTGACGGTGAAAGTTACAGCATTTATACAGGAACAAGGTAAAATCCTGAGGGGCAGAACAGCAATGAATAAATAGCCTTTGCTATTCAAACAAAAGAAAATACAAACGTACCCATAGGCACGGGCCCGCGGGGGGTTCTGTACCTTCGGATAAGAAACGTACCCCTAAAGCAACACCCACAGCTCATGCAGGACTTCTGCAAATAGACCCAGAAAAAATACATTCCGACTGATCCTAATGAACCTCATGGAGAGAAATAGGTGCCGTGAACAACTATGCCTCCAGGAACATCCTTTTCCTCAGGGATTTCTTTAAACAGCCCCTTCCTGTTTTCACTTTGCAGTTTCAGCCCAAACATGGACACCGCCTCACCTGAAAGCTCCCCGGTGTCACTTCTGCACGTGTAAAAATACTGTAGGTACACTGGAAAAAAATCCCAAGAAATCCCAGTGTCTGATGACCACCGACTTCCATCCCCTCCTCCCGTGGGATGGGGAGTACCGGGAAGGGATCGGGGAGAGGCAGCAGGAGGACAAGTCCCCGGTGTTAGCGCTGCCCACCTTCATCTGCCGCCTTCAAACTGGGAGTGCCTGCCAACTGGAAAGGCTTTCGCTACCTTTGGAAAAGCTGTGATCCTCTGGGGAGGGGTTCCCATGCCAGACTATCCTGGGGAAGGCCACGCTATCGTGGTGTTTGCTGACCTGAGAGCACGCTAGGTAAGGGAAAAAGAGAATGAGAACAAGAGAAGGGACATCGCACCGGGGTTTAAGAGCCAGAAGAAGGGAATTAAGGGGCAGACGGGACTAGTGGGTGAGGAGCAGGAATAGCGTAAACATACGGATCTGGGATCAGGGCCTGTCCTGTCCGAGGCATCACTCATTAGAGTGAGAGGCACCTAGGCACCCCCACTGTTCGGTTTGCTAAAAGCAGGACAACCAACCTGCCTTTTCTCCTGGATGTCAGCAAGAAAGCTCTTCTACAGCCGCACTGCATGGCAATTATCTGTGGGGGTTTAATACCAGTCACTGAATTCATTAACCTTTTCCCACTAAATCTAGAGATTCCAGCAAAGGCAGATATTTCGGTTGAGTCAAATACCTAATTCAGGAATGTAGCAGTCCCTCTAGCTCCCTGGGCAGGCAAGCAAAGGGCATTTCAGACCTCTGAGCTGGAGAGCATCAGGCAGCCTCCGCTGAGAGCTCAGCACCTTCGCCCTTCACTTCTCTGGGGCTAATGGTCACAGTGGATGTGATGGCTGAACTCCCTCCCCACTGACCGGTGAGCTCTCAGCAGCAGCTATCCTCATCTCTTCCACACAAACACACACCCAGTAATACAAATCATACAGAAATGACAGATTGCATGTAAACTCATTCGTAGTTTTAAAATGTATGCGTTACGATTTTAACTCCTAAAAGCAACGGTAGGGATTTATCAGTGCTGCTATGGAAGATAAATATTTCAAGGAAAGCTTTTGTCCATTCCATGGATTTTTAACATAACAAAAAGCAGAATTTGAGTGCAGCAGTTATATTATGCACCCATGCAAACACGTAAGCCCATGATGTTTATACAGTCTATACTTATTCCATTGATTGCAAAGAAAAAAAAAATATAAATGAGGACCTATTCAACCTACATGAGACTGAAATAATGGCACAGAATGTCGAAAGCACCATGGAACATAAAGAAAATGAACTCGCCAATTTGTTGCTAGATTTTTAGTATGGGTTAGGCTTTTGTTAATTTTTATCCCCCCGGTCTTTTCAATATTCAGGTGGCAGCAGCTGCCGAAAGCATTCTTAACTTAAACCGAAGCAGTACACTTTTTCCCTCTGGATGCAGAACCTGTGGCTGTGTTTCTGACTGCCCAGGTACCGCCACAGTCTCTCGGACTGCATCTGATGAGCGCTTGGAAACACCAGCTCGTGCTGAAAAGCAGCTGACGCCTTCCTAAATGTGGTTTCCTCTAGGAAAGCCGTTATAGATGGCAGCTCCATGGCTCCCTTGCTTTGCTGGTTCCCCTCCCAACAGGTAAAAGGGAAAATGAAACAGGGAGCCCCTTCTTCTGACACCAAAGGGACGGAAATGCCCCCACAATGTGGTTGGAAAGGGCATGTGTATGTCCAAAAGCCGACACTTTGGTCTTCAGCCAGCACAATTCCACACCCTCGGAGCCACCTCTTCACTCTGAAGCATTTGGGTAAGTGACAATCATGGGACGCGTGGCACTTATACACCCCCAACTCCTTCACCCAAGCTCTGTTCACTACCACCCACCCAAGCTCTGCTTGCTACCACCCATCGTACCAGGACAATCCCAAAAAGCCCAGGCAATCGCAGCTAAAAGCTGGAGGGGGAAAAAAGGAAAAAAAAAAGCCTCTTTTTTTTTTGTTTTCATAATTTTCAGAGTCAATTACATGCCTGATTCTGGATTAACTTTAAGTACCACTCCACTTCGAGATAAGGAAATAAGAACTGGGATTTGCATTTCTTTGAAAACTCATGGTGCCTGCAAAGGGATTCAGCCCGGAGAGCCAGGATAAACAGAGCACGGCGAGTGACACGGCGCGAGGCTGCGCAGCTCGTTAGGATAATTAGCCCTGCCAACCTTCACGCACACCTCGGCTTTAATGAAATAGCTGCTGGAAGACTTCACAGCTGAGTGATGATACTTGACATCATGAGAAGAACAGTTTTATTGCCTCGGGAACAGCATCATTCCCCTCCGCTCCTGCCCTGGGGGCCCTGCTTGCTCTTCCTGAGAACAACATCCACAAAAAATCCAGCCCTTCCCCTGACTCCCGGCTTTGAAGGACAAGCAGTGACAGGTTTTGGCCATTTCCCAGGCTAAGGAATTGTGAAAGGCTTTTCTTTCCCATCGCCTGCCTCACGTGGGAGTGTTTCTGTGCTGTGAGTGCTGCCCCCTGAGTTGGCTCTCCCTTTATCTGCCTGTTGCGCACAATCGGGGGAATGCAGGACTGGAATTCTGTCCACTTCATCATGTCTCAGGTTTGGAACCATTACATCCACTTGAGAAAGCTTTTTTAGTTTTGCAGTTTTTAAGCTTTTCATGAAGACCACAGAAGCTATCAGAGCTGAGCAAATAACCCATTGCAAGTAATTTTTCCAATTTGTTCTGTTTCAGCTTCATTTAAAATTTTTCTAGAGGCTTTGTTACAGGCTGTTTGAGCAATTAAACAGAAAGAGGTCAGGAGTGATCACAGGAGTTCAGGACACTCTTGAATCACTTTGGACTGAGTTTGCATGGGCATCAATTTTCTGGGCAATAAGAGCATGCATTGTAAGTGCAAATCGTTATAACTGAATGGGTGCAAGGTTCAAAAATGTGTCTTTCAGAAATATGTTCCAGCATTTGTCTAGATTATGAAAAAACAGTAACATCTGTAAACACAAGGTCAACAGGTTGTTTGCAGAAAACAAGCACAGAGGGAACTTAAAAAACAGGTGTATATTTTGCATTCTGAATGTCGAAAAGAAAGTATACATGAGTCTTCTCAGCTCTGATAACTACACTGCAGCACTAAGGATAGGTCAGGTCTTGGTCTTCTCTACCCTGAGCTATCTATAGCTCAGTACCCTGAACTACACCACGACTATCTGACATGTGTTCTCTGACACTGCAGCAAAATCTTAGGTATTCAGGTTATTTTCTACATCAACAAGTAGAGAGTAGAGTCTTGATTCTCCTTACCTTACAGGCAAGGTCCTGTCTCCTTTCCTCCTGTCCATCTCTCTCTGGGGAACGGGGTACCAGCGGAAGTTCAGCTTCCAGTTAAACCCTCCGTAAGTCATGTCTGATCCAGCCATGTACTCAAACGTGTCATCACTGATCACATCAATGATCGGGCAGACAACAGTTTTCCTGTAAGAAAACAGATGATTTTTTCACGTTAGCATGCTGAATATCCCATTGCTTTACTTGCAGGCTTCTTTGCATAAAACCCCCTTTACCACCACTCTGGGCAGGGCTGCTCTTCCAGAAACGAGGCCATGCATCATTCCCCTTTTCTGCTCTCCACGACTTTTTGGACACACTACGGTCCCAAGAGCTGGAAGCTGCCAGCACCCAACGCTGCCCAGGGCTCCCACTCCTCTGCCAAATCCTCTTCCCAGAGCGGGAGAGACTGCCACACGCTCCACCCCGGCAGCACAGACCACACCGTAGTGATAAATTCTCCTCGTTCTTCCTTACATCCTCTTACATCCTTACATCTTTCCTACATCCTTACATCCTGACACACCGCTCTCCTGTACACCTCGCTAAGGCTGGCAGTGTGGGGACAAACACAACAGAGGGTATTTTTGCTCGAGCAGTGCTGGTTTTAACACGTGTACACGCATGCCTCGGGGAACACGTGCAATGCGTTCTGTAAAGGAGAACAAATCCCATCTCCCACGTGCACCTCGGCAGCTGGTGCTGCCCACCCCTGTGTGGCTGCTCCTCCACCGAGCAGAGAAGGGCTGTGGCTGCTGCAGCACTGCCAGAGAGGACAACGTGGGTTTCAAGTCTCATGTGCGGGGCTTTTATGCAATTATGCACGAAAAAAAGAGGAAAATTGCATCATCTACTGGAAAAATAAAAAAGAAAGTGGGGGTGAAAAGATACTAAAAAAAAAAAAAAGACTGAATTTCACACATTATTGGAGGTCACATGAAGAAAAAGTCATGCCTGTTAGAAGAAAGTTGGTCACCAGGGTGGGGGACACCTAGACCTTAAGAAAGTAAATGGCAGAAGTTGCTACCATTACTGACATTATTAAGATTGGATATCAGGGAAAAATGCCTTCCCGGAAAGGGCTGTCAGGGGTTGGAAGGGGCTGCCCAGGGAGGGGGGAGTCCCCATCCCAGGAGGGGTTTCAGAGCCGTGTGGACGAGGCGCTCAGGGACAGGGGTCAGTGGTGGCCTTGGCAGTGCTGAGCTGACAGTTGGACTCGATGGGCTTTAAGGTGTTTTCCAGCCTAAGTGATCCTGTGATTACATAAATCTATGATTCTGTGATTACTGTCAACAACCAAAATCCTGCTGTAAGAACCAAAAGCTTATTATATATTTATTTAGGAATTAGATTTTGTTACAAATATTAGAGAATGCCCTTTCTTCATGATAAATTTTAAAAATCTTCATTTTCAGATCAACCATTTTCATTTCAACTTTTTAGCAGCACAGCAAATCCAAGGAACGCCTCGGAAGCACGAGACAGGCGCTGCCCCCGGCAGCAGGAGAGCCACCCTTACCTGTCCTCCTTTATCCTGGCCAGCAGCGGCTCGAGCCAGCCCAGGGTGCACTCACAGTGCGCGTCCAGGAACGTTATCACCTGCCCTTTAGAGGCTGCTGCTCCTCGGAGCCGCGCGCGGATCAGTCCCGACCTCTGCTCCATCCGAATGATTTTTACGGAGACTTCCAGGTTTTTCACGTAATTCTCTAATGAGGCCTTCAAAAACTCTGCCACAGATCATAAGAAAAAAAACCAATACCAAAACCAGAAGAAAAGCGTTATTTTTACCTGGTTCAGCAACTAACGATGACTCCAAATACAACTGCAGCAGCACCTCTGCATCATGCCCAGCCCTCCGGGGACGGCCACGCACGAACGCTGCTGTAACGCGGGAGAGGCATTCTGAGAGAGTCAGAGTCCTTCCGAGGGCGGGACACCGAGCTACGGAGGTTCACACCATCACCGTCACCGTGTTCAGTACAGCCCCAGGGCAAACGGCCCACACGTACCCATGCGCCTGCCAGCACATCGCAGGAAAAGATCAAAAATTTTGAAGGAGCCAGGATCAGCTTCCTCGAAATAAACCAGTCACCAATAGCGACTGCAAAGCCATTACACTTCTGCTGGTTTGCCTGTGGTCACATACAAATATGGCTGTTTTTAATGAATTTCACCATGTTAGCCCTTTAGGAATCCAAAACTTTGCTAAAGTTTCCTTTCCCCAAGGAAAAATCGTAGCTACTTGGGCTAAAGTCTTCCTCCACCTTCCAGCACAGGGAAACTCTAAACCTTCTCGTTGTCCGAAGCAGGGAAATCCAGGAGAGCAATTACAGTTAGTGCTACACGGGGCAGAAAGAAAGGATGGCTTAGCTTGCATCCTCTGTCTCTCAACAGCTGCAGCTCTGTGTTGTATCTGCTGTTAGATACATTTGGCTACTCCAGGAAAAGTTATAATTCCATGAATTCCATTTACAGAACACAGTCTGATTCCTTTTACATGTAATATCAGTTTTACATGCAGGCAGTTTTCTTTCTAAACCCTGGATTTAGAAAGGAAGGGAAGAAAAAAAAAGCCAAGACCTAAAGAAATGAACCACAAATAGGAGAAACAAGGAAATTGGCTCAGTCTGGATATTCAGGAAAAGCTGAAACGCAGAAGAGGGAGGGGGGGTGAGAGACAGCAAGAGAGAGACAGGGGGATGTGGAAAAGGACTCTTGCAGTAATACGAAATGATAAACCATGGGGCAATAAAGCACTGATGAAATCCTGGATAGAGCACCCTACACACAACTTCCGAGCCAACAACCAACCCTTGGCTCCAATACTCCCTGTGAGTGCACTCCAGCTCTGTCCATACCTGCCAGACTCTGCCTGCGGCCGTCGGAGACGCTCAGCGAGAGGCGCGGGTCTGGTTCAGCACCAGAAGGGAGCCACGCTGCACAACCCTTTCTGCCAGATGCTCAAACACGCGGCACCAAACCAGGCGGAACAGGACTCCTCTCTCCCCAGACCTACCTCTCTCGCTGGCATCGTCCACCAGGATGATTTCGGAAAGCAGGCGGTGCGGCGAGCGATTGATAACGCTGTACACGGTGCGGAGCAGAGTACTCCAGGCTTCGTTGTGAAACACAATGACGACACTCGTGTTGGGCAGTTCGTCGGGGTAGACTTTTGTCTTGCACCTGCCAAAAAAATAAACCAGAAAAAACACAGAAGGAAAGAGGGGTTAATCTTTCAGAAAATCTTAAAGAGCTCTACCGACAGGACAGCCTGGAAAAGGGGCTTCAAGCCTGTTGAGCTGGATACGTTTCAAACCGGTTACTGAGCTTGTCAAGCTCCCAAGCCAGAAGCCCAAAGGCAGAGGGAATGTCAAACTGTGCTGTCTTGCTAAGTACAGAGCTGTCCGAGACCTCCCTATCCTTGCTGGGAAGAAAAAAGCTACTATTTTCTAGAACGTTCTATGTGCCCATTCAACGGACTAATGAGGAGTCAGTAAGCACCCCTAGTTTTGGAAAATGCAGAAATTAAGGCAAAGTAAACAACAGATACAAACAGAGTTGATGGTTTCAGCTTTGCCAAGCAATGTTTACTTTAAGCCAAGGACTTTTTCAGTTTCCCATACTGCTTCTGTTCTGGGGGACACAGCCCGGACAGCTGACCCCAACTGACCAAAGGGCCATTTCATGCCACCAAACGTCATGCTCAGTATATACGTTGAGGGGACCTGGCTGGGGGCCTCCTCCACTCTCTGTCTCTCGCTTCTCAGGGCCGGGCATCAGTCAGCCAATGGAGAGCCGTAGTATCATCAGTTCTGGCATTTTTTCCCATTGCTGTTTTCCTTCTCAGTACGTATTATTACTATTAATAGCAGCATTTTCATTACGTAGTAGTATCATTAATTTATTTCATTTATTTTCAATTACTAAATGGTTCTTCTCTCAACCCATGAGTTTTCTCACCTTTTTTTCCTCCGATTCTCTCCCCCACCCCACCTGGCAGGGGGGAGGTGAGCGAGTGGCTGTGTGGTGCTCAGTTGCTGACTGGGGCTAAACCACGACACACACACAAGTCATCAGTAGCTGGATCTGACAGCAGGAAGTCCAACACTAACAGTGACTATATATATCTCTATATAAATGTATGCACACACCCCTCCAGTCTTGACATCAATTTGATGAGGACCACAGAAGTTTGCTGCTAGCCAGCCCACTTTCACAACTACAGCAATCTAATTAATCATACAACTATCCATCAATTAGGAGTGAGATTCAAGAGTCCTGACAAACAAGTAACAGTCCTTTACTAGTTATCATCCGCGACGACACCCTCAGTTTAACCAGAGGTGTCTATAGGAGGGTGAGCCCAGCAGGACAGTGTGTCCAGCAAAGGACATTGTGAATTCACTTGTTTCCAAGGCACAGTACAAGTTTTCCTCACGCGCATGACTGTCCTTGGAAGGCATCTCGTGTCAACCCTGGCATCGGGAAGTCAGATATCAAAGCCTGAGGAACTGAAAGGCTGTAGTAAAAAGCTCAGCGTTGCTTATGTTCAGAGTTGTCTCCCGGAGCTTAACATCATACTTCAAAGTACATACAAAGCTGGAATGAATCCTGCTTTTAAAACAGTCTTTTTAACCACATTTAAAACAGATACAATTTTGGAAATTGGAAAAGAAGTGCTCCACAAGATTATGTTTTAAAATAGTGAGAAATGCACGTCAGTACCGAAACAAGGTAAGAAAAGGGGTTTTCCTTGTTTGCCGTTTAACAGCAATTTTGTAGTGCCAATGCAATATTAATGAACAGATTGTTTATCGTCACGTTGTAATTGCCAGGATCTTCAGTATTTTCACCATCATTCTCATTATCCTCCAAGGTGTCTTAGGGTATCCAGACTAGCTAAGGGCGAGATGAGCCGAGGACAGTCATCAAGAGGTCGCGTGTCCTACGTTTTGCAGCAAGAGTCCAATCTAAATAATCACAAATCTGGTCATAAAAACCCCATGAACAGCATCATATCTATACGTCCTTCTTCAAAAGTTTCACAATGACACTACATCAGATACTGCACCATGAAGTGAGGAATCCTTCCCTTTTCATTACATTTGCCTCTGTCCAGACCAAAAGACTGGGCTGCACGTTGCTCCTTAATTTCCCAGACGATTACATGGTGGGATTATCCTCTCCGGAGGAGGATTATTCCATCCCAAATCAGTTCATTCTCTAGGTCTGCTAGGTATAGTTCCCCAGGTACACCAGGTGACGTGGGGGGATTTATTACTATCGTATCTGCTCAGCAGAGACTAAATTAAATCTATTCACTTTGTTTAACTTGGGTCATTTGACTTTGGCAGAAAACGTAAATGCTGGTAGTTTGTCCACGTTACGGCATTAAATCACCGCGGACCCATCGTTTATTCAAAGGTACTGCAGCACTTACCCCACCAAGGGTGATGGTCAGCCCAGTCTGGGTGACAAACTGCCCTGTGCTGACCCCCACAACACCCAGACAGTCACAACGACAGACAGCCACTCCAAGAGGGGCAGCTCCACAAATTTAACTGTTTTCTGCATTCTGGGAGTTCCTGGAGACCCACTGGCACTGGTGGAGAGTTGGTTTTGCACAACAGAGGCCAAGGGCAAGACGCTAACTAGGCATCAGCACTGTGAACAACGGGCACTCGCAGCCCAGCCCCGACACCACGAATGAGATCTGCAGAGATTTTTAGATATATCTTTGGGTTGTTCATACTTATGGCTTAGCTGTCGTACCGGTACAAGCTTTTGGGCTCCCTCCAAAGCCATAAGCAAAGCACAGATGAGCACAACCTAAGTTATTTGGGTGACATACCGATTCTGATGACTTTGTCTTCAAAAGACAGCGTCCCGGGACAGCAATACGTCAACCTCACCTTAACAACCATAACGTTTCAGGGCAGATGCTCAAGGCATATTCCATGGTGCGTTACGTTTTATTTCTTACAGAGTATTCCCTCCTCCCTCGGAAAGGTTTTACCACAGGCAGACAGTGACTTGAGGACCAAATTTTTAAAAAGCAATTGGTCTTGGTTAGCCAACTGCACACAGAGAAGAAGTCATTAGAGCTTGTTAATTGATGAGTGTGTGTGTAACACAGCTGACTCCTGCACTGGTCACTGGGATGACTCGAGTCCGGAACCAGCGCTCCCGTGGTGAAAACATTTATTGCTGGAATTAAACTAGAATGGGGGGAGACTTCTTCCAAGGGCAGGGAGTGACAGGACAAGGGGTAACGGGTTTAAATGGAAAGAGGGAGATTGAGATGGGACATCAGGAAGGAATTCTTCCCGCAGAGGGTGGGGAGGCACTGGGACAGGTTGCCCAGAGAAGCTGTGGATGCCTCATCCCTGGAAGTGTCCAAGGTCAGGCTGGATGAGGCTTGGAGCACCCTGGGCTATGGAAGGTGTCCCTGCCCATGGCAGGGGGTGGGACAGGGCGGGCTTTAAGGTCCCTCCCAACCCAAACTATTATATGATAGGATTCACAGTTTTCCACCCTATATCAGATCTTGCATCCCTGCTATGTCCAACAACACCTACCCAGGGCACGTCCAACGGTGTTACATCTCCAGCCAGATACCTGCCTAACAGTGCTCACTTGAGTGTTTGCAAGTGCATGGAAGATAAAAACCTTCCACGTCCCTTGTCTGAAACGACGACTGTGACTCACACTGTACTTTCCCCAATTCAAAAAGCCGCTACACGCTGAAGAAGCAATAAATAAGTCATCTACTACCCCACACAAGGACTCCCTCTCCACCACCCCTGCACTATTTACAATGTGTGCTGATTGTCCAACATACACTGACACTGGAAATACTTTCCCAGAAACACTGTTTTTTCTCATGCAGTCATCAGATGTTACTTTATGAATACACATGAAGTAAATACAGCTGTTTAAATGTGAGAAAAACACATTTTCCAAGATCAATAACATGGAAATGGAGTGAGACTCTACCTGTTTACCATCCTTCCCATTGGCTGTGGGCAAATTATGTGAGCGTGAAGGGTTGCAGTGTGACTTTCTTCCCTTCCAGAACCATGTGGAAGCTCTCAGGGAAGCAACTCAAGGAAAAGATCATGCACGAAAGCAAAGTATTTGGAGGGAAAAAAGTGACTGTAACTGCTATATACAATTTATTATGCAGTATTTTTCTAAATTATGCATTTGGGAACATAAAGAACTGTGTTAAATATTTGTCATTTATATGACTTGAGGGCTTTTCATGATTATTTAGTCATTAGCTTTTACTGCTTCACTTATAAATAAAAGATAAATAAGAATTCTTTATATCAAAGATTCACACCCATAAAGAAAAGGCCAGTAACGCAGATCACTGGCCCAATTCCTCTATGTGACCCGACTCACACCCCAGTGCCCAGAGAGCACTGGAAACCAGCCCAGACTGGTGTTCCTGCCGGGGAGCCGTCACCGCGATGCATGCCCAGGCACGCAGGCTGCGCGGCTGCAAGGCAGGACGGTGCCCTATGGGGCTCTACCCCGGCGAGACGAGGCCAGGCAGGTCTGTTCTATCATGGAGCAGCCTGGAAACCAAGTGAAATGGAGTTGTCGGCCAGAATACCTCGAGGCGATCCCAAACTCCAGGGGCAGACAGGCTGAGAAACCCGTAACAGTGCACGCTGCAGTCTTCAGCAATCAGAGATGTTGGGAAAAGGGGCGAATGCACCATTTCCCAATGCTAAATTAATGAATTATTGACCTGCCACACACTGCATCTCTGTCCCTGATTTTAGTTCGTGTTTATGTTCCGATTAATATCACAGGTGCAGCAGTGGCAGTGTATTTACTGAAGTATCTAATAATAGAATCACACGATCGTTTGGGTTGGAAGGGACCTTAAAGACCACCCAGTTCCAAACCCCCTGCCCTGGGCAGGGACACCTTCCACTACCTAACATATATTTGTTTAAATATATTTATATAAGCATGCATGTAGACAGTTTTATGTAGCTATACATACATACAAACCTACATATATGCACATATGAAATCTTAGCTTATCTCTGTGCGATAGTTTAGGTCTCTCTACTCACAGAAAGGTATTTACTAATGATAATGAACAGCATTTTTGAATACACTGATGCAATACTACATTCCACTGGAATCAGGATTTCCAGCATTCT